CGGAACGATTAGGAGCTAGCTTAGGCCAGGGCCGGGAACCAGGCCCGTTCGCCCGCGCAGCGACTCAGTATCACAGCAATGATCTATCTAATCCTTGGGAGCACCGGAGGCCGGGAGCGAAGCGAACCAGGCCGAGGAGCCCCCCTTATTTACCGGTTAATTAACCGGATGTTTCGTAAGTCCTTGGTGTTTTCGATTAATCAAATTACATGTAGCACCCCCAGTGAGTACATAATCTCTGGGTGTGAATTACCAACAAGTTGAGGTATGTGATCTCAATTATCCAGTTCTATCGGGTCGTCTTCAAACATCTCGACATCACTCCGGGTTAACTGTAAGAGGTGAGTGAGGTGGTCTGAGCATATACAAAGTTCCTTATATAACAACAGTGAAACCTTTTTACAGTTAATGAGGGAATTGTACTTAAGTCTTTGTCGACCAAGTGGCCAAACTCGAGATTTTGCTCCCTCCTAATTGCCCTCCCTCCTTGAACTTTTTTATCTTGGTTTCATTATACATATCCGTATAATTCAAACTATGTGATATCCAACGTAGTGTTCTTATTGGCTGTCAGGCTTCGTCGTGTATTTTTGATCTCCTGGTAGCCAATGATATTATATAAAAATACAATTCGTCGTCGTCGAGCTCCATACACATACCGGTTGGGACTTATGACCTGGCCTTATACGGATAATGTACGGATAAATGAGAGTCTAATTAGCGTTCATTTACTTCGATTCCACTCAAGTCACGGCAAAATAGTTAGGGTCAGATTTGGCCCTATCATGCATAGCCATATCTTGTTGGAAGTACCTGTAAATGCGTCAATTCCTATCATTGCCGCACACATCATAGAAGCCATACACCTGCAGCAGCGCATATACCTGCAGCAGAGCGTGGAAGGCGCTGGACGACGGTGGTCGCGGTGCAGTCGTCTGGCGCGAGCGACTGGTCGTCCATCGCGCTGTTGCCACCCGGTTGGTCCGCCAGCAGTATCACGAAAGGTGGGCGACCACCTGAGCCTGTTGATGAACAAAGTGGCGTGGACGGAAGAGGAGGACGACTTGATCTCAAGATGAGGGGTCGCGTCGGAAACCAGCGGACCGACATCGCGAGGTTGTTGACCGGGCTCACGGGCAACGTTATGAAGGCCGGCGCTCATTTCCCCCGAGCTAACAATCGTCGGCGGCGCCTTGTTGCCTGGAGGGCTCCCACCCGAAGCTCCCGAACTGCCGCAAAGCGAACCACGATGGTCCGTTTCATGTCCCTAGCCACCACCACGTCGGCAATACTCACCTTCGTGACCTCCATCATCGCGACCGCTCTGTCCGCCTGCAGACCGGTCACCTCCACGGCCCATCGCAATGTCAGGAATTGACAGCGTGTAAATGGGAATTTTTATAAAGGTTGCATGCTGTATTGTATTTGACTATGTTGAGTAGTACTTTGTATATTATTTTTGATTATATTACTCTTCCGGATAGAATAAGTAAAGTCCTATTTTGGGGCTGACAGTGAGCTTATGTTTGGACTTATTGAGACCCCAATAAAACTAACGGGTGGGAGTATAAGTCCAAATCTGGTCCTATCTAAGGGTTACAGTATCCGTATAAATCAGACCTTTAAGTCTGACGAGTGGAGATGCTCTAATGTGATTCGTCTTGTATACTCCTCCTAGATACCGAATGAGGGCACATGTATTCAAGAAGAGTGTATTGAATACATGTGAATGACACCCCCTAACTGTGGATGTGCCTGCAACACGACACAATCTGCAGTTATGGACTATTCTCTCACTATAAATTTAGATGTGACTATAACACAACGCTTTGCCATCAGTAAAATGCTATCTCCTCACTGTGGACGTGGCAACAACACCGCAATATGCTATCCCCTCACAGTAAATTTGACATCCCCCACTGTGGATATGCCTACAACACTATATCTACTGTATGTACTCGGAGTACCCCCTTGACCGCTCGGCTTAATACCAAGTATATGTCAAGACGAAGCTCAAATGATATCATGGCGAACTTTTGAAATGGGTGCGGGTGTATTTTTATTGAAAAAGTCAGCCAATCAAATCGAATGAGTTCAGTAATATCCTCACAACCCGCTTTCCCGTGGAGTGAGGATATTTTGGCTTGACTTGATTAAAGTAACGCCACTCTGTATCCGGACGGGCTGAGTGAGGAGTATCCTCACTATTGTCGACAAAGACTTAACCTTATGATTTGCCACCCTTCTTGTTTGTGATTATTCGCTACACGACTGTCTTAACATGAAATTAATTACCCTGTGACGTTCAAGGAATCGATCTTCCCTTCAGCGGAATTGGAGGCACAACAAACAATTCATTTTCAATTTAACGGGCTACCATGGCAAGCCGCAACAAGGAGGCAGCCGACTTGGAGGAGCGCGTGTCGTACATCCAATCGAACACGGCCAAAGATGATAATGGGTACGTCGAAGCGAAATCACCCAAGGGCCTGGAAGAGGGGGCGCTGGCTGAAGGGGGTGCGATAAACTTGTTCTCCCGCGAAGCGATTGCCCTGTTCATACAGTACGGCGCCATCGGGATCATCTACAACTTAATCCCCGCGCTCCGTTATCCCATCTTCAACAACTACCTCAACTTGGAGGGTTACCAAACGTCGTCGTACTCGGTGTTGATACACATCGGGTGGTCGTTCAAGGTCTTTTTTGGCGTGTTGTCGGATTGTGTCCCCATCTATGGCTACCGTCGTAAGTCGTGGATTTTGATCGGGTGGACCATCACAATGATCTGTCTGAGTGTGATGGCGTTTTCGCCGTTCGGCGAACCATTTTGCAACCGCGAAAAGACCAAGCATTGTGGTACGCCGTTGGAAGAGGTGCCAGAACCCGAGCTGCAGTACTTCAACTTATCCGCCCCCGACAACGGCACGCTGTACATCCTTCTGTCCATGTTTATAGCGTTTGGGTACGTCTTGGCAGCGAGTGCGTCGGACGCGATGGTGGTCGAGTACGCCCAGCGAGAACCCATTGCCCTCCGCGGCCGCATCCAGACCGCTATCTACACCGTGCGCACGCTCACTGGCATCCTCGCTTACTTGGTGAGTGCGTTCGGGCTGAACGGCACCAACTACGGCGGGTCATTTTCGTTTGCGTTGTCGCCGAATGCTCCGTACGGCATTGCCTTGGCGCCGTGTCTTCTGGTGGTGCTCTCCACATTATTTGTTCTCGTGGAGAAGAAGTCTGAGTCTGTGTCCTTCCCCCTATGGTGGGGCAAGTTTTGGGAATCTCTCCAGAGTCGCGTGATGTGGCAAGTTTGTTTGTTCCGATTCCTCAGCAACGTGTTCAATGGCGTCAAAACCACTGCGACATTACCCATTCAGATGCACTGGGCGGGGGTCGAACCTCTCAACGATGCGCTCTCTGACATCTTTGGCAATATGGTGTATGCTTCTGTTTTGGTGATTGTGGCCAAATGGGGGCTTCACTGGAATTGGCGCTGGACCATCGCAGCTGGTACCCTCGGGATGGTACTCGTCGATGGCTTTGTCGTATTCTTCACCATCTGGGACGTCGTGCGTAACCAGTGGTTCTTCAATGGAGTGGGGCTGGCCGAGGAATTTCCCCGTGGCCTCCGCTTTATCGTGGCCACGTATGTGGCCGTGGAAATCGCCGATAAGGGCAACGAAGGCGCCACGTACGGCCTGATCTCCACTGTGAGCAATCTCTCGGGGCCCTTTGCCAGCATATTTTATAAGTACGTCAACTCGTACTTCAAAGTACGTCAGAATGACGTCAAGTCCGACACGCTCGAGGTGCGGTTGGACGTCACGTACGTCTACTTTATTTCGTATGGGTCCAAGATCGCGTCGTTGTTTTGGCTGTTCTTGCTGCCTCCCCAAAAGGCAGAAGTGAAGTTCCTGAAGGAGCGCGGTGGCAAGAGCAAATTGGCGGGGTTCATTCTCGTGTCCTTGTTTTTCTTCTGCATGGCGTTCACCGTGTCCAGCAACATCATGTCCATCTTCCCTTCCACCAAGTGCTACCGTATCGCAGGGGGCAACGGAGTGTTGGACCCCAACACGGGCAAGTGCCCCCTTAAGTAGAAAATGATGTCTTGCATTTCGAAGTAGCGTATATATAATGTACTACGTAGTATGTCCGCAAAGTGATCATATTCACCCATATGGATAGATATATCTACCCATTTGGATAGATATAGTCAATATTCCGACGCTAGATATATCTATCCATATGGATAGATATAGTCAATATTCCGACGCTACTTGATCTTAGTATCATCAATATTGACTATATCTCAATATTGATGATACTAAGATCAAGTAGCGTCGGAAATTGACTATATCTATCCATATGGATAGATATATATGGATAGATATAGTCAATATTCCGACGCTACTTGATCTTAGTATCATCATATTTATCCAATCAAGAGGCGTCATTCAGAATCCTACCAAATATTACCCTATCAGAGATTTCTCATCAGTCTTTTTGGCCAATCATATCGTAGTGATCCAGCGACCCTTCGATTCCGACCGGTTCCGACATAATCTGTCGGAACGGATTTGAAAATACGAATATCTCGATACTGAAAGCAAGTCTGACCATATTTTGTGACATATTCACCGAAATTCCGACAGCAGAGTGTAGGTACCGGTATTAATACAATGCTTACTAACTTATTAATAGTACGCATGTTACCGGCAAGGACACGTGTGTCGAACTGCAGTACCTGCATGTCAGTTTGCTGTAGGGGTTTCGGGGTTGCTGGTTCGGCTAGGCGTACTGTAAATCATTTGCTTTCTGGTTGCTATGTGGTGTTAGTCGGGGTACTGGTATGTGGAGAAGCCAACTCCTCTTCATCGGTCAGTACTACATGAGTGTAGGACTAGCTTGGACAAGGGTACTACAGGTAGTCAAAGCGTTCAAGTAGAATTGCATGCATGGTGCTAGCTAGGTAGAGTACTTGCTACAGTATGTGATGGCGGTGATCAGATTTAATGACTGGCAGGCGACTCGACAACTCCACGTTACATACAAATGAATTGATCACTAAACGCTTGTTGTGCCATGTTTTGACCACGGTTAGTGCTGGATTAAGGGTTTACTACGTATGTAGCACTATTGGTGACAGTGTCCGTGACTGTGGATTCCATTTATCGCCGCCTTATCGTGAAGTTATTCGTCTAGCGCCAGCATAGTTGAGGGGAACAGTGTGCAGTAGGGATGCATACAGTGTACCACTACAGTAAACCAGGTTTTCTACTTCTCCCGACATGTGAATATGCACACAAAGCACACAATCTCTTTGTTTGCCGAGCCAAGAGATTGTGTAATAAATCATAATCAAGTTGATACAGTATAAAACTGTATTTTTTTGGTTGGGGACCGGCCAGGTTCGAGTGAGATGTTGGCGCAGCCGGCGAAATACAAAGAACACCAGTTAATGGGCGCGGGCCGGCAGGCAGAGGAAGCACAAAGCCACAGGGCGGTACACAGCGGCGGACAGAAGCGGTGGCAGAAGCAGCGCTGGCTACAGACATATGAGCTGGTGGTAGACAGCGGCAGACTACGGCGGAGGCAAACAAAAGGGGTGGTGGCGGCAGACAGAAGCGGTGGCGGCGACAGAAGTGGTGGCGGCGTCGTCTGCAGACAGATGCGGTGGCGGAAGATAGTGGCGCTGAAGACACATGGGGGGGTGGCAGCAGCGGTGGCTTCCGACAGAGGCCGGCAGAAGTGGCGGCGCTGGCAGTCAGCGGCAGACAGAAGCGGCGGCGGCAGCAGGGAAAAACGCACACAGCGACGGGGGCCCTTCGCGATTGCGCATTGTACAGTACCTGGCTGCAAATTGCAAAATAAGGAGTGTTTTCAATTGACCAATCATATTGACTATACGGATAACTAACCGGTCGTCGGAACGCTGCATACAAAATTCAAGTAATTCCAATTTCTTGGATTCTGCTAGAAAACATTCAATACCAAGATGAATAAAGTTCTGGAGGATGACGAAGCCGAGAGGAAATATCTGGGTTGAATGCATACAAATATTAAGATAATATTTATCTACAAGGAATAAATTGGAGCAGTGTTGTCGGCGTTCATCAAGCCAATCTCTCCCGCTGGATGAATAGTGTCCTCAATGGCCATATTCTCAGCCAAGTCTGTGAGCTCACTGTCCTCCAATGCGTCATCAACCTCAACACACTCCTCAATATCGCCCTGGATGAGCTGGCACTTACGAAACCCGTTGAGGATCACAGCTCCAGGAAGGTCTTTCCACACCATAGTGATCCATGACACCATTGTAGGTCTCGATGGGCCGCGCAGCTTCAAGTTCTCCTTCAAGGCCTT